GAGAGACTGTGCAGCTCCTGGCAGATCCCTTCTGCTCTGGGATGCCCCAGATCACCACACCAGAAGGCAAAACAAGAAACAACGGGGGGAAACTAATCAGGGACAGAAGCAACCTGGAACGGAGGAGAACAATTAACCAGTGGATCAGCTTCCCGGAGCTTTCAAGAAGAGTCCGGAAACCATCCAGGCTCTCCTGCTCGATCAGGGGGCTGGACTAGAGGACCGCCAAGATCCCTCCCAGCTCCATTCTGTCCTGGAATAGATTCCCGAAGCAGGCGCAGAGGCCGGGGCTGGGAAACCTCTCCTTTCTAAAACAGCACCAACCGCTGGCAAAGCCTAGTGGTCTGCTAACTGCCCTTCCCGCCCCGGGCCGGTTGAAGCCGGCAGCCTTTCTCCTCCCGGGTCAGACTGCCCTTATCTGCCTGCCTTGTTTGATTACTCAGCCATAACCAACACTTTTTCACAAGCTTGGATAAACACGAGAGCCGAGCACGCCCACAGCCACTAAGCGTACACCCAGCAGTTAAGATCTCGCCACTGGCTGGGAGTAGAACTAGATAAGTACAACCAGGAAAGGGAAAGAAAGAAACCAAAATGGAACGAGCCAGAAGACTGACAAAACATGTTTGTTTCAAGAGCCGAGGGTGTGTGTGTGTGTGTGTGTGTAGAGGAAGTTGGAACTCCTGCCTACCAGAATGGGCCAATCATGAAGGCCAAGACAAGAGACACAGCAGGGCATGAAAAGGAGCCTCCCCCCTCCTTTCCTCTGGAGCAGGGATCTCCGAACTTGGCGACTTTTAGGACTTGTGGACCTCAACTCCCAGAATTCTCCAGCTAACGGATGTGGATGCCGGCTGGGGAATTCTGGGAGTTGAAGTCCACAAGCCTTAAAAGTTGCCGAGTTCGGAGATCCCTGTTCTGGGTGGGACTACAACGCTCTTGGGAGCAGAAATGGAGGAGCTTGGCGGCTGAGCAAAGCTCACTTGATTGACCCTCCACAAGGCCTGCAGCCTTCAAGAGACCCCCACCCCACCCCGCTCCACTTCTCAGAAGAGCTGGCTCCAGGCAAAAGGCCTGTCCTGCTGGCCTGGCCTCTATTCAGCCGACTGCTCTTCCTCCGAACTGCCCTCTCCCCTCCGCTCCAGGGCACAAAGCGGCACATGGGGCTGTCCCCAGAGCCCGAGAGGTGACATGAAAGAGTCTCTGGAAGCGAGGCACAGCCAGGGGCCTCTCAGAAGGGCAATTCCATGGGGGCTCCTCTGGGGCAGGGCCCCCTGCGCTCTGGTGTCCGGCAAGGGGAAGGGAGGGGGAGAGGAGGAGGAGGCCAGGGAAGATTCAGCCCTTGCTAGGCAGGAAAGAAACCTGCAAATTAACTATAAATAGCCGGG